TTAATGGGGGATTAGAGGGGGATATTATTATATCATTTATGATGCCAAAATTTGTTGTTATCTTTTAATCACAAAGCTTAATATTTACACTTTTTCTACCTTCTAGAAGAGGATAGGATACGAACATCAATCCTTCTTTAGAGTAATTAGAAAAAATTAGGAGGCAAACAAATAAAATCACTTTAGTTTTATTTACTATTAATTATACTATATACTCGGCGCAAATGCGGATATAATTCAAGCATACACGCGTGAACCTGCGTTAATTATTAATAATGTGATGTATTAATTTTTCGATATCATCAGCATTGTGGGTTTCAAAATGATAACCACCTTACATAATATATATTACTTTTAGTCTTTGATATAAGAAGTAGTTTGATTTTCAATTTGATTATAAATATAAGACTTAAATTCATCTTGTCTCTTATACTTATCAGTTTTTTTTTAAATAGTCCTTATAGTAGTTAAACATGTTAAAAATTCTATCAAATGATAGTTTTAGTTAATATACATGATTGGCAAGGGTATTCTATGAAAGATAAAACCTATTTATACTGGAAATAACTAACTTAACAAAATTTCTTAATCTACTTAAATTAATCAAGTAACTTTGAATATATTAACTTTTAATATATTAAGGCCATAGGTGGTGTGTACATATACAGTAATAATCGGATAGAATATATCCAAGCCATTATAATTGTGGCGACTAATTTTAGAAATGAAAGAGGGAAAATTGAGGTGAAGTATATATACTTGCAGGATAATTACCTGGGAACGTTAAACATTTGATCGATCCCTATACTTTTCAAATGAGTTAGAAATGAATCTATTAATTATATGCTCCAAGAATTTGGACAAAAGAGTGGGAGATAATGGACAAAATCATGAACAGTGTGGGGGTTCTGGAGATGTTGCTAAAAACCAGTAAAGTAATTAAAGAAGCAGGGCTTTTATTCGGATTAGTAATTAAAAATAAATGAGTAAAAGAGGGCGGCCCCCCAACTCCACCGCGGGGCGCAATTTAATGAATTGCGGATGCGTTAATCCACTGATTAAGCGTCGTGTTGTTTGATTAAATTCAATTAAAGCGGCATCATCCATGTGGGGCCAGGACACACGTGTAAGACACACACGAAGAAGATGCATGGCTACAGGAGTATTATATACTTGGAATTATGCAACCACACAAAAACACAAAAATGAGTGAAGCTTGCACCATCATCACATGGAGCTCCCCCCAATCGCCCGTTATTATAATCCTTTTTTCTAATTGCACTTGCGCATTATTTTAGATCCCATCCCATGTGTATTCCACTCACTCCTATTAATTGCTACGTCGTGTACGTACTACTTTTATTTATTCAATTTTTCATCCAACAAATAAATAAAACTTGTCGCGACCGAAACTGCCAAGCCGCATAATCGTGGCTGCTAGCTCTTGTATTCTTTTTTTGGTCCCTTTGATTCACATGTTCTTCCTTGGACCCCGAAAAAAAGGGCAAAGAAAATAAATCGTATACTCAATATGTATGTCTCTGTGTGTGTGTGTGTATCCACCTGCGAGCTAAAATAATGAATGAGCTCAAATACATAACCTCTGCGAGCTGCAAAGCTGGTTGTTGGTCGCCCGTATATTATACTAATGGATTCACAGCTGAAATCCATGCGCACCAACACTATTGCATTGGAATCCACTTAAAAATTACACAAACCGAACATGAAAGGGAGCTCTTGGCAACCATGTACGATCGTACATGTTTGGTATATATTGGGTACCCTCAATTACGTGAACGCTGATGCAAATTAAAAGCAGAACTAAGCTCTCTGAATTTTGAGAGATATTAAAAGTTAAAACATTAAAATTCTAAAATTTTTTTAGTCTTCTCTCCGATCCTCGCAACTTGATCATTTTATTCTACACTAATCGACGATAAACGCTGTAAGATAATATTTTTACTAGTTTTGTTACCGTCATATGATAAGAGGATAATTCAATAAGCTGGTTATGACCTACGCCTATCCCGCACTTTCCTTTGGACACTGATGGCGACGCATAATTTATTAATTACAGCTGAAAACAATTCACTGTTTATTGTTATGGGGAACAAGGGGAGGACACCATGATTACATTAGGCTTGCTTTAATTAACACGGAGCCTCCATATATGCTCATCCTTAATTAACTTGAATATTACTCCCTCCGTTCCTTATTATAAGAGACATTTGATACTTATAGCATGTTCCTATATATAAGAGACACTTACAAATTGTCTCTACTTTTTTGTGTTAATTTACTATTTTACCCATATTTATTATCTCCAACTCACACTCTCCCTCCCTCTCACTTCTCTTTCTTTTAATAATTTAATTGTTCTCTCTCATGCTCTCTCTCCTTATTAATGAGGGCATTTTTGGAAAAAAAATTATACTTTTTACACATTAATTGTTCTTAACTAATTTTAACTGTTTTTTTGATCAACGTACTTCGGTTATTTGTCTTTTATAATAAGGAACGGAGGGAGTATTAATTAGCCTCTGGCTCCCCGGATACGAGTTAATTAATTAATATTACACACACACACACGAACTCGTGCAGGAGCAGTTCATGCATGTGATTATGGCCAATCACAATTCAAAATTAAGATACATATATAAACAGTTGTAGAAATGAAGGAGTGTAATAATTAAAGGCGATGGGGTATATATGCGCGGAGCAAATCATGGGCTGCCCGTGTGCTTTCAAATCCTACATATGTAATATATTTAGAACCGTCAAGTTGTGCAGAGCCATGAGAAATCATTTGCTGGGGTTTGTTGAATCATATATTACGGTGAGACCAGACCTATGAGAAATTTTATATCATTAATTCACCCGCTGTGGAAATGGGCCTTTATCTTTTAAGTTTGGCATGATGCTTTCTATTGCGGCCACTCATCATTTGGAGGCAGAAATTATTATTATTACTGTTATTAAAAACCACACTAACTATATTCTTGCACCCGTGTCAAAGTCTGGAACATAAGAAAGCTCCGATCCCTCTTTATTTAGTATTCATTGATGCTCGTGCAATCCGCATTCCTTTCTGATGCTGCTGATTAATTAAGCTAGACGAATTCACTTTATGATTAGGAGGAAGAAGAAGAAGAACTGATTAGTAACTAAATAGGGAATTGGAGTAGAGGAGGGGGAAATAGCATGGAAGATTCTTCGAGTACTGTGAAGTTTATGAATTTAATGGCGTCCTTTTCCAGACAAAGCAAGCTTTAATTTATTAATGAATAGGACGTGCAATGAGCAGGGCCTCCATGAAAGGCACTGCCTTTAATTTATGGTGCTGTCCTACCTCTGGTTCTCACTTTCTGACGAAGAAGAAAGGCTGCCCTGTTGCATTATATTTGTGAGATCCAAGAAGATGGAGGCATATCCATGCAGAATATATATATATATATATGTGTGTGTGTGTGTGTGTATAATATTGCAATGAATCACAAATGCTGATTGTACAACAAGAATGTGAGCATATATACTAATTAGTTTGGCAACACTTGAATCTTCGCAACATATCCTACGCATCACATTTGTGAGAGGGCACTCCCCAGCAAACACATTTTCTCGTGCAATCCACAGTTAAAAGTCCCGTGAATGATTGAATGAATCGTTGGCCCAAAAAAAGAAAAGAAAAGAATGATCGAATGAATCATATTGCGTACGATTCACAGTGATCTGTCTCATGTTTTTATATTGATGTGGTTTATTTCGTTTAGTTTTCAGAATCTTCATATTTATTATTGTTTAATGAACAACGAAACGCCCCATTTCAGAAGTGAATAATAATCGTAGTGTGATAGATTTACTCTAAATAGATATACATAAAAAAACGAAAATAATCTGGAGTGACAAACGTGAGAAGTAGGAGATCACAAATTCCATTTAGGAAGTGTTTGGATGAAAATCAAACCTTCATTTCAAAAGTGCTTTTACAGTTTACGAAATAAATATATAGAGAAATTTGTATCGTTTTGCTGAAAAGTGCTCCTGAGAAGCACTTTTCAAAATTGCCAAACACCCCCTTATTCATCAAAGTGTGTCGGGATTGATATGCGCGCACACAAACACAAGTGGGATAATTTTCTCGAAACGAAAAAGAAATAGGTAGAATATTATAGTTTATTCAGAATATGAACACTCCATTTTATTAATAAATACCTGTGAGACGGAAGCAAATGATCATGACAGGGGGAACCGGGCCAGATGAAAATTGGTAGTTGGATGAAGTCGGTAAGCCAGCCCGGCCCGGATAAACCAATTTTAATAATCCCGGGGGCTCAATTTCTCTGCCTCTTCGGCCCAAATATGTGATCCAGATTTCTCTTCCATAAGACCGTATATTTTTAATTGTATACAGATATCTTTTTTTTTTTTTTGATGAATTTTTGATAAGGGTGCCGGGAGGGGGTGTTGATTCAACTTTGAGGCAGTCCCGAAGGAACATCCAAATGCAGAAGCATATTCTCTGGAGCCCCATTGTTCTCTTCGCATTCACTCCTCAAACCTCACTTCATCTTCACAATAACAGCCAGCGCATGCCGTTCTTCTACCCATCACATGCTCCTATTTCTAATTCTGGATCACAAGCAATTCCACTCCCTCTTGTTCTTCTTTTCTTCTCCCCACAATTCGTCTCACACGCTCCCTCATTTCCCACCCTCCTCTCCCAACATTATATTCCGCAGATCCTCCGATCGGCACAATTAAGACGTCCGTCCCGCTCAGGATTTTTGCGCATTTAATTTTTATGTATAATTTCTTATGCTCTAGCGCAGATGGTGGCCCCTCTAACTTGATTTCATTCATCCTTCATGAATGTTGCGTACGTACGCGTTGATTTTGGGATGCACGCGACATTAATTTCAAACCTACAGATTTTCATCTCGGAAGTTTCGGTGTTTTTATTTATTAATTCATACATTCATGCTCTGCCGGTTGTATCCTCTTGGACTGAACTGCGTTAGTGTCGTACTTGTATCCGTCTATCTTCTCTATGACCCATGTTTAGGCAGTAGGCTTGATTCTTGTTGATTCCTCGTGCCTTTAATCTTAAGCATTTGTTTGGTGAAAAAAAAAAATCCTAAGTATTTGCCTCTCAATTGAAAAATAACACGGATAAAATAAACTTGAATCCATGCCTAAGATTGGAATGTCGACTAAATTGCGGCTGGTTTTTGAAGGTGAAGAAGAGGCAGCTTGATGGTGAGAGCATTCACACAGGAATACACGTACGAGCATCCATGGGAACGGGTCACGAGTGCGTTTTGGCGCAAGTTTGGCGAGCCTGAGAATAGGCTCATATACCATATCGTTGAAGTGGACACGCTGAATCGAAGGCTTGACGCGCCATCTGGGAAGCTTTACAGCACACGAGCGATCACCATTCAGTGTCCGGGGCCATGGTTCCTAAGGAAGATAGTTGGTCAAGATATTTGCCACTGCGTGGAATCAACGGTGGTGGATGCCCGATCGCAGTCGATGCGGTTAACAACGCGAAACGTGAGCCTGCGCAAGATGATAGAAGTGGAGGAGAATATTCGGTACGATCCTCATCCAGAGAATCCGAGCGGGTGGACTATTTGCAGGCACCACACACGCATCTGGATCAAGCCACTGTCGGCGCTGGCATCCATCGCCGAGAAGGTGGAGCACCGATGTGCTGAGTCTTTCATTCAGAATGGCGCCAAGGGTCGAGAGGTTATGGAGAGCATTTGTAAATATCTTGAGGCCCAGCCTACGGGGCTTTCCTGTTCATTCCTACCAAAGTAGTAATCAACATACAATATTGCTCCAAGTCTGTATATGAATCTATTGTTTACTGCTGAACAAGTAATCCAATCAAAATTGAGAACTGGCAGTAATCACTTAGATGCATATGCGAGTAATTCAAAGCAAAACGATAGGCTACAAATAATGAAGATGCGAACAGATGTGAATAATCATTTCATTGAGTTCAAGTTTAAATAGATTTTTTGATGTTCATTAGGTGAGTTTCAAAAGAAAATGTTAGGCTGCTAACAACGAAGTTAAAAACTCAGCTTCATCGTAATCAACAACCATAATAATGTTGATTCATTGAATGAAACAATTGTAGTGTACAGAAGTTAACACAATAATTGCACGTTTTATTTTTTATAGAGAGAAAAAAATCTCAGAATCTCCTCCTCATGCCCAGACCATCAGGATCATGATGGTGTTGGTGGGAGTATTTAGTGCAAGTAAAAGGCAAGGAATGACAAGAGGGAAGCTCCAAGCACAGGGACGGTGGCGGATGAGGAGGCGGAGGCAGCAGGACCGGGGGCAGGAGCAGGGGCCTCGGAGGCCAAAGCAGCCGACATGGAGGCAGCAGCCACCAACAGCACGGCGCAGGAGATCTTCTTCACATCCATGGCGAGCTATAAAAACACTGCTCCAAGTGAGAACTCGCCCCCAATGAATTAAACGCTTGTTGGGTGTGTGAGGGTGTGCCCTTATTGCAGTGTTGAGCAACATTAAGGAGCGAAATGGCTGTTTATATGCATCGGCTCGTCTCGTGGCAAGATGCTAATTTTTAGTGATTACAATGACATTTGCATTAGTGGCTTCCCACCATTTCCTGAACCCCCCCTTCTCATTGATCGGGTCAATCATTCTTCAACCATGAATTCATCAATGAATAAACAAGATATCAACAGCATTTTGTTAAAATTAAGAAATTAATCCTAGTCGCCTACAGGGTCAAGAGACCATTGTAATTGTTACCTTTTTTAATATATATAAATTGTAATCGTCATAACTACAAGTTGAAATTGGAGAAGAAAAGCGACCGCTCCCTGCCACGCCGAACATTGTCAATCCCTCATAACATAAATTTGACATACTTAAAAGTCAGTTTTAATAATGACTAGTGTATTCACTTTTATTCTTCATATTCTCCGTTTTTTTTATTTTTAAACTGCCTGTTCATAATCTGCAGTATGTGCTCATTCACTTTTCTTTCGTCTGGGATCTTACTTTTTTTCGTTTTCGTTTTTAATCCTATGTCCTTTATTAAGCAAGTAACTGGAGACTCTCCACAGATATGATTTGGTTGATCGGTGATGGTAACGATTCAACGTCACACCAACAAGACTCCAGGCTGCTTAAGCAGCAACCGTATTATCTCACCGCGAGATTACATGAGCTATTGATTATGAAAACTATTTACCACCTTTCATATCTGTGGCTGGGTGTTAGTCCCCCACAGTCACCTCTTCTGAACTTGGTCAACAACTTGACTTTAATTCCCTCGTTTGAAACCGAAATATCAAATGAAACGAAATAAACTTTAAATTTACAGTAATCTCCTTTGCTAATGAAATATCCACAACAACATGAACCATATCCCACCAGCTTAGTTAAAAGTCCTTTCCAGCAGTCCCCAGCACAACTCTATCTCGTGGTGGGGGAAAAACAAGGTAACTTAACGGGAGAACATTCTTTTATTGCATAGTGACCCAAGCATTAACGGGAGAACATTCTTTTATTGCATAGTGACCCAAGCACAATCGGAGAAAATGAAAATGCGTATGAATTCAAAAGTGCAAGAGAAAAGGAAGAATATACTATTCGCAGGATAGGAGAAATAAAAGAACAGAGGAGCAAACCGAGGTTGTCAAGTGGCAGAGTTGGTGCCAAATTATCATGGAAAACCAATCCAATCGAGACAGAGGGTGTTATGGCGCCTGCATATTTCAAGATTCTTAGCCTCTGATCTTTTGTTCGTGGGTTTCTTACCGCTTTGTTTATTTATATGTAACGTAAAAGGGTGTTATGTCAAAGTGTGGACGTAGGATTACAAATCAACAGACCACTTACTCCGCAAGAGAATATGTGATTGAGAAAGACACAAGCGAGCCAAAATCAGAGCTCCATACAACTCTTGTTATTATTTGTCATTGCCGGGAGAACGCAATGCTCGTTATCACCGTATATGAGATGCATTTTCTATAACAATGTGCAAAATGCCCCTGTAACATAGGTTTCAGGCCATTCTCGTGCTCTAGTCTTTGTCCATAAACTCCTACCTCTCACAGCAAAAGGAAAGCATCTTACAGAAATCTTTGTAAACATAAGTTATCATTTCACTTATTCATTTGAGAAATGTCACCTCACAAAAATGATTTACCAATGCCTATCCTAATTATCATAAGAAAAACCTCAGGTTTGATAACCCCCTTCTCGTCCCCAAGATCATGATATGTCTAGTATAGTAGAACCAAAAAAAAAAAAAAAAAAAGGGAAAAGAATCTCAAAATCGAGTTGTACCATCCATCTATGAGCTCTTGGCAGCCTCTCCCACAGCAACGCCAGCCTCTATCATCTTCTTGTTTTTCTCAATTGCCGCGGCAACTTCTTTAGGCATATACTTTTCGTCGTGCTTTGCAAGAACCTCGGTGGCCGCAAAATAACACTCTCCACTCCTCGCCTTTCCAGACACACTTTTAGCCGAAACCTCTTTCTTGACTTCCTCTGTAAAGGGCTTTACAAACCCTTCAACCACCACGGAGTGCCCCTCCCTGAACAAATCTGGCAACGAGCCCTGGTACCGAACCAAAATGTCAGTAACCAAATCTGTGATCACGAATTCCATTTCCGGGGACGAAGCCGGATGCAGGACGCTGCCTTCGAGGACCAAACCACCCAAGCGAAACTTGTTTTTCGATGGGTTCGAGGAGTATTTTTCGAGAGCATCAGTCGGGGTGACATAGAAGACCAACTGATCTTGGAAATTATTCAAAACGATCACAATAAAACCTGCCATGCAGCTGAAGGTCAATGCATAGGTCCAGAGTCGGCGATTCTGAAGCTGCCTAGCTCGGGCGCCGATGTCGACCGTCTTCTTAGACCGTAGTGGCTGGCGGCGAGCTGTAGAGAAGAAACGGTAGCCGGATGAAGAAGATGCGAAATCAGTGAGAAGGATCGCAGGGGCATCAGAGGGCGGGGCAACAAACAAGGGCGGAGATGCGATGTGGTTGGGACGAAGAGATGACCGAAACAATGATGCGGTCCGAAGCAGATGAGATCGAAATCTGACGGCAAGAGGTGATGCCATCAGAATTTTGTAGGAGGAGTGCGAAAGAAAGACGCAGAATCCGAAGAAAAAGGGTTTAGGGTTTTCGATCAGTCTGAAAACGCAAATAATGAAGAACAAGGCTCATTCATGCTTTCGATTCGAGGCAGTTGGCGCCGCCGCCCAATTTTCAGAAGTTCCCATGTCCCCCCCCCCACCTTCATTTTTTTTTCCTTTGGCAACTCTTATCGGCCACGCCTGCGACACGCGAGTGGTAATATGGGGTAAGCGGCGAGTTGTAAATTATGAGATGAAAAACACCATGGTGAATTTTAGCTAATCCTCATGGATTAGCCCACCAACTATTTTTTATTTTAAAAATATTTTTTATGTAATATAAATAAAATATAATAAAATTTTTATTTTTTTCCGAATACTTGATTGAAAATATCAAACAATAATTTAGGTATTTTTTAAAATTTTTTATATTGGATATAAAATATAATTATAATTATAATAATTAATAAAATTAGAAAAAATGTGAGTCAACCTTTAGGTTGGTAGACTAACCCATGATGGGTTGTGGGTTTGATAGTATAGGTTAAAAAGTTTTGTTAGCTAGCAAATTGACTTTTAGCCAGCTTTAACATATTATTTTTGGGGAGTTAGTTTAGATTTAACCCATATTACTAGCTCTATCTAATAGGTTGTTTTTTTTTCCAACCCGATAGGTTGGCACCTCATAATAAATTATATGTGTTTAATTAATTTCAACGAAATTATATATCTTTTATTTAAAAAATTATACATTAATTTGAAATAATGAGTTTGCATTAGAAGTTTTAGACAAAATACATTAATTTGAAATAATGAGTTTGCATTAGAAATTTTAGACAAAATAAGATATCTTTTTTGGTTGCAGCCTTGTAGGTAAGCTTAGTTTTAAAAAAATGAAATGAAAAATTTATATAATCTAAATAAAATTTAAAAATGATACGCGTTTAGATATCCCTTGTTGTCACGAAATACAAGCAAAGGACCACGAAAGGGAAAGTAAGGCTATATTTTATTTCTTACGTAGTTATAAATTATAAATGTAACCACTACCTTTCTGATCAAATCACACGTTCAGAAAATAGTTCTCGCCAATCACCATCATGAACTATCAACATGGCGTGAAAAAAAAAAAAATCTTACTAGAAGTACTACCTCCGGTCCTTAATATAAGACTCCATTTGACTTTTTGTTTGGTCCTAATTATAAGACCCCATCCATTTTGTTTCTCATATTTATACATTTTTTTCCAAGATAGTCCTTCTAATAATGATAGTTTTAGCCAATACACTTAATTAATAAGGATATTTTAGGAGTGACAACACGTATTTATTACAAATAACTAACTTAACTTACTTCCTTAATCTCCTCAAATAAGTCAACTGGGTCTTATAATTAGGACCGGAGGTAGTATTTAATAAAAACCAATAAATAAAAAATGAGACTAGATACTAAACTTGTTGAGGTAGTGGTTTAAAGGTCAATTGGTCAGGTCAAATCAAGTCTAACCGATCATATTAAAATAATTTAATTTAATTAAAAATAACAAAATATAACAACATTAATAATCACTAATAACAAAATATAAGAATAGTTTGATTGTAATAATAATAAAGTATAATAATATTGAGAATTTTGATCTTTATGATTCATCATTAATTAAAATTAATAATCATTGATACCAAAATCATAATTAAAAATCATTCAAACCTATAAGGATTGAGATACTAAGAGCTGAATGATAAAAAAAATAAGACCAATAATAACATAATCATCAAAACCGGTTCACACCGGTTTTTACCGGTTTTCACTGATTCACTTCGATCTGACTAGTTCACTACTAGTTCGACTCTCTCCTGGTTTAACATTCAAACCAAATCGGACCACTAGTCCATTCACTAGTTTTCCAGTTGAACTGACCCGTTTGATCCAAATTTTTGTTTTCTGATAAAAACCAATAATATACTACATTTAGTTCTAAATATAAGAGTTTTCTCGTAGCACTTTGTAGTACATTACAGAGTGAATATTATATTTAAGACAAGAGACAGCATTATATTATTTTTAAGTCATACCAGAGTTTGCTTGATTTTTATTTTGGTCCTAAATATAAGATCTCAATTCACTTTATCTCTCATATTTTAGGAAAGACAAAACATATTTATTACAAAATAACTAACTTAACTAATATTTTTAATCCATTCAAATTTGTCAACTAACTCTTATACTAAGGGCAGAAGGTAATATTATTTATTTCCTTAAATTCTGTGTAATGCATTATAAAATTAATTCTTGTATATATATAAAAAAAACTCGATTGAAGGGGGCCTACTTTTTCTTTGCACGTACTACTGTTATTTACAAGGGAATTTTTTTTTTTCCACGGAAAGAAAGGTTAAGGTGAGACATGTCATGGGGCTTACACAGAGGCAAGACAAACCTTTGATCACAAACACCATCGAATTCAAATAATGCTTACGGATTATTCATCAATAAGATTCGGATGTTAGGCAAGGCAGGGCGTAAAACAAATTATTTAGGCGCGGAGCTTAGGGGCGGCAATGCGGCGGGACTCGGGAGTCATGCGGCACGGGCATAAAACTAGAAAATGACACAGAAAAACTGATGGGGCAGAAAAGAGAGAGGAGGAAGTCAGGTTAGGTATAGACTGCTGATAAAGAAAGCGTGAGGGAGTCTCCTCTTTCCTTGGCCCAAGTCCTCAAACCATCTCTTTCTTCTACTCTCCATTATATTAAAATTCCTTCTCCCTCTCTCGCTCTCTCTTCAAGCACCTATTTTTATACGCCCTCTCTCCCTGTTGCTACTCCACGTAACATACATTAGTCCACTTCCTCTCGCCTTTCTCTTGTTTAATCCTTTCTTCTCAACTGCCACCCAAAACTCCTTCGCATTTCTCACGACATTCTTCCCCCTAATTCTTTCCTCAATCCTGCTAACATTTGCTGCTTTTATTTCTCCTCCCATTTAGGGGAACATAGCAACAAATTCCTCATGGATTCTCAAGTCTCCGTAGCTCTTGCTCTTTCACTCGTGGGTGGTTTGAGTACTTCTATCGGTACGTGTGCTCCATCTTTCATTCTCACGAAGGTCAAATTCGGCCAGGATAGGAAGTTTGTGCGGTGCATTTTCACAAGCCAATTCTTTTTACTGCAGCGTGATTCTCAATACCTAAAACATTCGTCTCGTCGATCCCCGCCTTGTCTCCTCCACCTTTTCTGTTTATTTATACAGAAGTTCAGATTCATAATCTGTTTGTTTTCTTCTTCAAGCTTTTTTCCCCCCTGCACAATATGGTGCCATCGTTCGTGCATAAGACTGTCCTGTCATTCAACTAGAGAAGGATTTTCGCGTCACTTCTTCTATGGCAAGCATATTTAGGCTCTTGTAAACCCCTTTGGGAGTATGTCTACTTCCTGAGTATTGGGATTCTAGGAAAAAGTTACTTCTTTCCGGGTTCCATCTTTCATTAATTTGAATACATGGAAAAACATTTGAGATCCTTGCTCCCCGAACTATTAGCATACAGCGTCTTTTTTTATCTTGATTATAATTCCTGATAGAGTTTCTTTTTTTTTTTTGGCGCAATTTGACTAAAAGTTCTTAATGTGGAACAGGGGCACTTATTGTAATAATTAATCAATCTCCCAGTTTGAAGATGCTTGGGCTATTACAGGTGGTTTTCATCGGTTAAAACTTTGTGATCAGAACAAATCAGTTCATTTCGAATTTTTCCTTCCTCCTCCTAAGTGAAATGTGACATAAGATCAATTATATTTGTTCACACGCCTATGAAAGTCTGCCTTTCTAAATGTTTCTTTCCACATAGGGTTTTGCTGCAGGTTTGATGCTGAGTATATCGTTCTTTGACCTGGCTCATAATGCTTTGAACTCACTTGGCTTCTTCAAAGGCAATCTTTGGGTAGGCTATGCTTTTGAGCAATTATATATTTAGCCGATAGCAGTCTCTCTCTTTTACTTCTATCGCATGTCCTCTCATGCTATTTCAGACCAAAAAGTTAGACCTTCCTGTTCATGTAGTTTTTTGCGGGTGTCATATTCTTTGCTGTCGTGGCCAATTTTATCCCAGAACCAACGCTTGCTCCTGCTTCAGATATGAAGAGTAGAAAGGTTTTCATGATCTTCCTTCAAACAAAATAAATGTTATCTCTACACTTCTTTTATGCAAGCTAAATTTTGATTATATGACAACATTCTTTAAAATAGAAAAATGGGGATGAGGGAGGCAAGGACATAATGAAGAAGCGTCACCGCCAAGTTTTATACAGTGGGATAATTACAGCTATAGGTACCTGCATATTTCAAACTTAACCACTTGTACTGCAGTTCATTGTACTTGTTTATTGATTGACAAGCACATTGTGAAATCACTTCTATTTGCTTATCTGCAGTAAAAATGTATTACTGGTTATTTTGGTATCAGGATTTTACTCAAAAAATTGAGCCCTCTAATTGCAGTGTAGATTGCAGGTCAAGCCTTGCACAAAGAATACATGAATGATGTGTTTAAACCTCTTGCAATTCTGGTTATTTTGGTATTAGAATTTTAATTAAAGAGTGGTGGCTTCTTATTGCAATATAGTGATGACCACTGAATTGGGGTGAGAAACCTCCCTGAAGAGCTAATTATTGAAGTGGGAGAACCAGCCCCCACTTAAATTCCTTATAGGGTAACCTGCATTATTCAATGGGAGACTAGGCATTCCATGGTTTGGTCTCCATCGTATAGATAGAAGTTTAAATCTTGCACATATGTGTGATGAAGGCACATGATTTTGCCAAGACTATAACAAAAAATGAAATTGAAATTGGAATTTGGGAACACTTGACGATAGAATTCTTAAACAACAAAGGACGAAAAATGTAGAAAGGGAGTTGAAAATCACAAGAGCTGCTGAGGTGCTTTAAAATTTTAAGCACTATGAGTAAACCTATACAGTTGAACAAGTTGATAAAAATAGGAAAGAAAATAGAAAAGAAAAGAAAGCAATCCGCAGTTTACAAAAGCATAAATGCCAGATTATCAATTGAATTTACTGAAATACATGTGACTTGATAAGGAAGTTTAAGTATAATGC